TATATTGCCAGCTCCATGAAGCAGACCTTATTACTCCTGTATTCATCACTATGCCTACCATGTACTGAGGGCCTGGTCAAAACTCAACAGGCCATTATTAAGCTGTTAATGAAGGGGGCTGATGTGGAGTTCAGTGTCAATCCCTTGCTGAGTATGCGAGTATGCACGAGGTTCTAAATTGACGGACCCCTACCATTATGACAAATAAACATGAATGACAAAGTTTCACATAGGCTGACTCCAAGGAAATAACTCTACAGTTACCAATAGAAATGTCCACGGGGGCTGATAATGTAAACTTGCTAGTTGGTCAGCGATCTCAAGAGTAAGCAGAGGGATGGAGAGTAAGTATATATGGTATAATGTCTCCTGACACTGACCCAAATAATACACCTGCAGTGAAGTGGGGGGCAACTCCTCAAGTGGGCAGTTTCTCCACCTGTGTTTTAAGAAAATACAGATTTAATTCAGAAGTGAGAGGTGAGTTCCATTAAATCTTTTATGTGACTATGTGACTTTTTTTTTTTTTTTTGAGACAGGGTCTCATGAAGCCCAGGTTGGCCTCAAACTTGATATGTAGCTGTGGATGACCTTGAATTCCTGATCCTCCTGCCTCCACTTCCCAAGTATTGGAATTACAGATGTGTGCTATTTCACCTGGCTGAAGTCTATTAAGTTGAGTTCAAAAAAATAGAAACCTGTATTTGATCAAGAGAATGGGAGCATGGGAGAAAACCTACCTGGGTGAGGCAGCCAAAACCATGGTGCCTCCGTGGGATCAGACAGCTGGAGGGGGATAACACTCAGACCCAGAAGGGCAGAGATGATCCACACACAGGCCACAGGGGTAAGCACCTGAAGGACAACACTGAGATAGAAAAGAGCCCCCTCCTCCCCCAGAACCTTCTGAAACTCAGAAGTAGGAGACCAAAGGAACGGTCCATGTCAGTCCCACACACTTTTTCCACTTTGACGGTTTTATATTTTATATATATATACATACATACATATAATATTTTATATTTTGAGATAGGGTCTATGTAACCCTGACTGTCCTGTAACTCTCTATGTAGACCAGGCTAGCCTCAAACTTACAGAAATCTTCCTGCCTCTGCCTCCCAAGTGCTAGAATTAAAGGCGTGCACCACATGCTTGGTTCAACTATTTTATTTATGTTTGGGGGCGGGCTTAAAGACCATACAAGGGACTTGGCTTCTGGAGCCACCCACATATGTGATGGGAGGCAAACTGGGGTCCTCCAGAAGAGCAGCAATGTCTTATGTTTATTGTCCATGTATTTCAGGCTGGGCTGAAACCTCCTATATAGCAGAACTTGAACTCCTAAGTCCTTTTGCCTCCCCCTGCCCGGTGTGGAATCACCGGTGTGTGCCACCTCACCTGGCTATGTGCATCAGTCGGCCCTTCTCGCTCCATCTGCCCAGAGCCCCCACGTACCGAAAGGAGTCGGAAGACAGGAATATATATGTGAGTTGAGGAAGTTGAAGCTGGCCTCCAGGAGCACAGGGGTACCCGGCAGGAGCCCAAGTGCTGAGAACAGATCACCATGAGCAGGATGAGTCTAGGAAAGAGAAGGAGCTCAGTGGGCCAGAAGCATCAGAACCCTGAAGGGTGGCAATGCCGGGGAGCAGAGTATCAGAGAAGGACGCTGCTCATGGAGGGGTAGGGAGGCACTCTGAGGTACCATAGCATGTGACTATGAATATCAGAGAGACCGAGGGAATTAAAGGAAAGGCTTGGATCCCAAATCTAAAACCTGCTATCCCTGCCCAGGTGGCTATGGAATCTAATAAGGCAGAAGCTCTGTCTGTCCTCCCCAAGTCTGCACACCCACTGGGTACCATCCCACACCTGTCAGGACTCACTTACAGCAAGGCCAGGCCCCAGTGAGCGGAACAGAACTGGGCCACCTCCTTGTGGGCAGAGAGCCCTGCTACAACCAGGCTGGGTGCCAGCACCAGTGGTCCACAGTAGGGAAAAACACGGCCAGGCAACCCTAGAAGTCCTATTGTGCCCTGCAGCAGCCCGGATACCACCACTGCCCCTGACACCTGATGAAGGAGAGGAGAGGAGAGGATGGGTAGAAGACGTTCTACTCAATCAAGTTTACTTCAGTCTGGAATTTCTTTTTTTTTAAATCATTTATTTACTTTTATTTCATTGGCATTGGTATTTTGCCTACATGTATGTCTGTGTGAGGGTCCTGGGATTAGAGACATTTGTTAGCCGCCATGTGAGTGCTGGGAATGGAACCCGGGTCCTCTGGAAGAGCAGTCAGTGCTCTTAACTGCTGAGCCATCTCTCCAGCCCCAACCTGGGATTTCTAACAAATTCCAAGGACAGGCTTCTGCCTTGCTCCTTCCCGGTGGCATCGGTGTCTGCGCAATGGAAATAAGAGTGTCCCCAGGCTGGATCACCCCGTCCTTCTGCTGTCTTTTTCCAGGCACTCACCTCTCGGAGAGAAGTGTTCCAGAACTCCAGGCCATGGCAGCTTGACAAACTACACAGATGCAGTGAGAGGGAGGCTAAAAGTTTGGGGTACAGAGAGGTATAAATGGAATAGAGACTCAGCGCTCTCCTGGACTGATGCCTGGTATGACCCCCAAGACCTCTCTCTCTCTCTCCAATACCCGGCAAGCTCTAGCACATACTTCTGCCACTAGCCTGTCTTTACTCTATACTCACCGTTTCCAGGGGTCTTGGTAGTCAGAGATGGCTTCTGGTTTGTCAGCACCAGTGCAGGGATAAGGAACTCTAAGGATGGAGCCTGGACTAGAGGCAGCCTGTAGGAAGGGCAGCCCCAGCAGGTTTGGAAACGTGGCAGTCAACAGGGTTCCCTTGTCTCTTCCCTTTCTCAAAGGAGTTCCCCTCACCTGCTGCCCATCCAAGTTTGCAGGACTGTAGACACACCACAGGAAAAGAAACTGGAAGCCAGAAGCTGAGCAGGTGAGTATGAGAGCCCCCCTGGGGGAAGGCTGTGAAGCAGCAGCAGGTGGGAGGCAGAGAGCAGAGATGCCAGAACCAGGAAATGCTGGAGAGAGGAGTGCAGAGGGGCAGGCTTCAGAAATACCCATCTGTAGGTTTCTCGTGACTCATTGACTCCCTCCAAATACCAATTTCAACCAACTTCTGCACCTCTACCTCCTACCTGTAGAGCCAGAAGACAGCTGAGGACCCAGGTGGAAGGCCCACACCGAGAGGCCCATGAGTGGGAGGAGGGATTCTGGAGAGGGGGCAGCAGTGGTTGCACGGGAGCAGGGGCATCCTGTGAGCCCACAGCTAGGAGTGGAACGGGATGGAGAGGTGATCGGCTCATGCTGCCTGGCTGGATTGTGTCTTGGTTGCTCAGGATAGTTGAGTAAAGAAAGAGGTCAGAGTGTGGGTGGAGTGCACTGACTGTCGCAGGGAGGGGGTGGGAGTGTCAACGAAGCGGAGAGAGAGAAATAAGGGCTTGGGAGCAGGACAGGGCTCTTTCACCTTTGCCCAGCTCTTGAGCAAGTTTCATCAGCCATTAACCTAGCAGCTGAGTTCTGGACGCCTCCCTCAAGAATTTTCACCCATGCCCCTGCTTCTACCAGGCTCTGAAATGAAGGGTTAGGGGAGACCTATCAGAATAGCCTCAAAAGATTAGATTTTGCAAACTCTCCTCTCACCATCAGCATTCAGCAGCATCTATTAGGTACACGTTCTTCAACCAAACAAGACGTGCCCACATCCCGTAGGACAATGACCACTACATATAACACACTCACTGTAAAGCAAGAGTAATTAATAGTAATGTGTATTTCAAAACGTGAAAGCTTGGGCACAAATAAACCAGAAGGCAATGGAACAGTCTGCCTCCCATGCCCATAAATAGGGTCACTGTGGATGAGATGGCTACCTGCCAGCCAATGACATTTACTGGTAATTCAGACACCATAAGCAGTATTGACATTGGCAACCTGATTTCCTAAAATAGTGAGCAAACTTTTGGTGAAACATTGAACAAAGTATACATTTACTTTACATGAAAGTATAATTCCATAAAAATTGAGGTTTTTTTTTAGAGATTATTATTTCTGCCTTCCCTTTCCTCCCTTGAAACCGTCCCATATACCCCTCCATCTCATTTTTCAAATTCCTGTCCCTTTTTTCACTGTTACTACATGGATATATGTACATACACATATGTATTACTAACTATAACCTACTCAGTCTGTATGTTACTCATACTTCCAGAGCTGACCATTTGGTACTGAGGAAGACTTACTCCCACTCCCAGCATCCCTTTGTTGCATTTAATTCTTTGTGGGTTGAATCCTCAGGTTGATTTTTCCAAAATGCACAAAAATGTCTCATTTGCACTTAAAAAATAACTTTAGAATCAGCTAGGTGTGGTGGTGCATGACTGTATCCCAACACTGAAGGCAGATGTAAGTGGAAAGCAAGTTCCATATCAGCCTGAACCTCACGAGTCAATTTCCAATGGCAGCTAACTCCATTTTTAATAGGCGCTAACAGGATTTTATATGCACAGTGATGTCTTGGAAACTTCATGGTAAAGGTTTTAAGTCCTTTAGGGAGTCTAGCATCCCACTCAAACTGAACAAATGCCAGTAGCATTCCCAAAGACTATACCCCACCCCAAAACAAAAGCAGGGTAGCAGTGGTGCACGCCTTTAATCCCAGCACTCAGGAGGCAGAAGCAGGCAGATCTCTGTGAGTTCGAGGCCAGCCTGGTCTATAAGAGCTAGTTCCAGGACAGGCTCCAAAGCTACAGAGAAACCCTGTCTCAAAAAAAAAAAAAAAAAAAGAGTACATATCACAATGACCCTTGGGGGACCCACCAGCCCACTGACCTTACTCCTACCCCCCACTCCCTACACGATT